GCCGGCGCCGTTAGCCGCCTGCCGCCCCGCCCGCAGCGGCCTGACGCCGCCCGTAAACAGGCCGGCAAACAGCGGCTGGACGCGCCGCGCACCGTCTGGCGGTGCTGGCGCGCGTGCCGGTGCATCGCGGCTCGCGCAGCGTGACGCGTGCTCGTCACGTTCTAATTCTAGTGTATTTTCCTGTTTGTCAACTGGATTGCCTGCCGAATTTTGAATCTCCACCGCACGGCAGCGTGGCAAATGGCAGCGGCATATTAACGTCACCGCAGTTAAACTTCGCGGGTCCCGTGGGACGCGACACTGGGCGAGCTACCGCCGGGAGCAGCGCCGGGGCCCATCGCCAGCCGCAGGGCAGAGCTCGACACATCGGTGGTCCGGTGGTGGGGCTCCACCACCGGCAGCAGCGCCGGCGTCCACTGCCAGCCGCAGAGCAGAGCTCGACACGTCGGCGGTCCCGTAGCGTGGCTCCACCGTCGGCATCAGCGCCGGCGGCGGCAGCAGGGGCCATCGGCGACAGCTCGCTCCGGCGAAGTTTCTCCTCGTGCTGCTGATTGCAGCTGGGTGATGGGGATCGTCGACTCCGTCGATCGCGCTAATGAACGGCGTCCGACCGCCGGAGCGGTGCTGTCCCCACGACCGCGCTGTGCTGACCCCACGAACGCGCTGTGCTGACCCCACGAACGCGCTGTGCTGACCGCACGAACGCGCTGTGCTGACCCCACGAACGCGCTGTGCTGTCCCCACGAACATGCTGTGCTGTCCTCACGAACACGCTGTGCTAACCCCACGAACGCGCTGTGCTGTCCTCACAAACGCGCTGTTCCCCTTGTCCCCCTTCCCACGAACGCAACGCGCTGTGCTGTCCCCACGAACGCGCTGTGTCCCCGCGAACGCGCTGTGCTGTCCCCACGAACGCGCTGTGTCCCCACGAACGCGCTGTGCTGTCCTCACGAACGCGCTGTGCTGCCCCCACGAACGCGCTGTGCTGTCCCCACGAACGCGCTGTGCTGTCCCCACGAACGCGCTGTGCTGCCGAAGCGAGACCAACGCCCGCAGGACGGTTCGAGTGGAGTCAATTTTTGTGTGGAATGCTTCATACGCACGCTAATGCTAGGCGCTCGTTGGTTGTTATGCTATAGCAAGCCTATGAGACGCACCACCGCCTCACTCTAAATTGAAGTGCTTTCGCCCATTTTCAGGCCAGCACTCTCTCCGACCTGCACAGTACAATCTTCTCCCGCCGGGCAGAGATGTTCATGTCATTTATATGTACGGCCACTCAGGAGCAGCTCGCTTCGTCTGCACTATTGCATTCCAAACAAGTTCTCAAACTTTTCCAGCCCGCGAAGTTTCCAAGAGCTGGTAGGTTCATGAGGTTTGCGGTTCTGCGCAGCAGTTGCGGTCCCACGAGAAATACTTTCCTCCGACATCACACAGTGTTCATCCAACGCAAGTACGTCCTACGTCTCAACGCGCCGAGAGTAATACTGAAAAAACGCAGGCGCCAGCAGGTGGTGCAATCTCATCGGGGGCGCACAGGTCACCAAGGGTGGTGTAAACTCACCAGGGCGCACGGGTCACCAGTGGGCGGTGTAAACTCACCGGGGCGCACAGGTCACCAGTGGGCGGTGTAAACTCACCAGGGCGCACGGGTCACCAGTGGGCGGTGTAAACTCACCGGGGCGCACGGGTCACCAGTGGGCGGTGTAAACTCACCGGGGCGCACGGGTCACCAGTGGGTGGTGTAAACTCACCGGGGCGCACGGGTCACCAGTGGGCGGTGTAAACTCACCGGGGCGCACGGGTCACCAGTGGGCGGTGTAAACTCACCGGGGCGCACGGGTCACCAGTGGGCGGTGTAAACGCACCGGGGCGCACGGGTCACCAGCGGGTGGTGTAAACTCACCGGGGCGCACGGGTCACCAGTGGGCGGTGTAAACTCACCAGGGCGCACGGGTCACCAGTGGGCGGTGTAAACTCACCAGGGGCGCAGGTCACCAGGGCGGTGTAAACTCACCGGGGCGCACGGGTCACCAGTGGGCGGTGTAACCTCACCAGGGCGCACGGTCACCAGTGGGCGGTGTAAACTCACCAGGGGCGCACGGGTCACCAGGGCGGTGTAAACTCACCGGGGCGCACGGGTCACCAGTGGGCGGTGTAAACTCACCGGGGCGCACGGGTCACCAGTGGGCGGTGTAAACTCACCAGGGGCGCACGGGTCACCAGTGGGCGGTGTAAACTCACCGGGGCGTGCAGGTCACGCGTCACGTGTCCGTTTTTCTGGCGGATACGACTCACCAACATCCAATTACACCACACACGCTTGTGCCTTCCAACGTTTGCACGCAACACAAGGCCAGGGGAGGGGAGGGCGGTGAGGGTGGGGGTGGGGTGGGTAGGGCAGGGGGGCTGTAAAAGGCCTTCATCACGATGCGTCGGTTAGGGGGGAGGGGGGGGGGGGCAAGTGGGGCGCGCGCTGCGCAAACGTGCGAACGACACACCAACATGCTCCCTGAACAAAGCTCCTGACCCAGAATCGCACCCATCGTACGCATGCTCGCAGGCACACAGAGTACGGTGTACCACTCGCGTTTCCCCGCCCGACATCGCCCTTCGAATGGCCGGCGCCTTACTGTACTGGGATGGTCTCTCTTCTGAACGGCCATAGTTCAGTTGTGTTGGATGACAACGCGCGTTTGAATGGTCCTCGCCCTTCCTGGTTGCTGCGGTACCGTTGTCAGATACTGTTTCCACTCAAGACAGGAAACAAAGTCCAATGCCCGTAAGTTTACCACTGTGGCTCTGCTGTTGTGCTGTCACCTTTGAATTTTCTTGACGGCGCGAGAAGCTTTGAGACAGGCATTGCCAGCGTAGGTGCGTAGATGCTACCGAGCTTTCGATTCGACGTTAGAAAAGCTACACTGCTCTTTGCGTCTTGCTGTTGGACAGCAACACATGAAATGAAGCAAACATCTGACCCCTCCCCGCTGCTACTTTGCATAAACAGAAGGCACAGCGTTGGGCGGTATGCTGCTGGGGACCAAACGTCGCGTGTCCAGCCGGCCATCAGATCAGCTCACTTTGAGCAGAGGGGATTAGCAACGCGGCAGGGCCGATATTAGGCTACGTATGCGCTTTACGAGTGCTCTGTTGCCTGAAAGTAACGCGTTTAGAGATCTGATCATGAGATGGGGTCTCAAAATGGGCGTTTGCTGCCCATGGCAGGAAAGCCTCGTAGCGCCAGGGGCCTCGTAAAGACGATAAGTAGCCATTTCCAGTCCCGCAGTACGATACAGTGGGAGATGTGAAGCCGTTATATGCGACGAGGCTGGCGAAAACGTCCGGCGTTTGTGCGGGTTCCTCAGTCCTCACCAGGTGTTAGTGTGGTGCGGCGCTGTGTGGTGTCAGCGGGGACACGCGAAAGCCGGTCGGCAGCCCAGCGCGAGCTCCGCTCCGCCATCGCCGAACCCCGCCCTCCCTCGGCCGCCCAGCGCGGGCCCCGCCCCGCCATCGCCGAACGCCGTCCTCCCACGGCCGCCCAGCGCGAGCCCCGCTCCGCCACCGCCGAACCCCGTCCTCCCACGGCCGCCCAGCGCGAGCCCCGCTCCGCCATCGCCGAACCCCGTCCTCCCTCAGCCGCCCAGCGCGAGCCCCGCTCCGCCACCGCCGAACCCCGTCCCCCCTCGGCCGCCCGGCTGGCGACAGCGGGCGTGTTGTCGTGCCGGCCTGTGGGAGCAGTGTCGTGCCGCAGACTCCGCCCTCAAGGCTGAGCCTTGTCCAGATGCCAGATAATCGCCCTGCACAGGGACGGCAATCAATGGCCATTAGGCCGGCTCGGATACGGCTCCCCACGCGGAACCGGGATGGGCCGGTCGCTCAGAGACGACCAGAGACGTGCCGTCCGTGACCCCGCTCCAGTACCCGGGCCGCAGGTGGCAATGGAGTCTACCCCAGTGCCTGAACTGATCAGGTGCAGTCGGCACTCCACCACAGTACCTGGACTGAAGGTGACAGTGGTCTACTCCAATACCTAAACTGACGGATCAGGAGTGAAATGGCACCGTCGCCGACGCGCCCACAAACCCTTAAACGCCTGACAGGGACAGGAGATTCCACTACGGTGCCTGAACTGACAGAGACAGATGAGTCGCCTCCGGTACCGGAACGGACGGAGACATGGTATGTGGCTTCGATATCTGAATCGGCGAAGACAGGAGACTATCTCTTGTCACTACAGCGGCTATCTCTGATCTGGCGTCCCGGCACCACACAGGTGCCTGAGCACGTATCCAGCTGCGGAGCATGACCACGACTCCTTCCTTTGAGCATGTCAGCAGTGTCGCATTCGGTCCACCTGAGATAGAGCATTGCTTTATTTATTTACCGTGCATGCCAATGTGTGGAGTAATCTTACGTTTTCAGCCGAAAGAAGCCCCGGGTCTTTCATTGTTACTGTCAGCGGCAATGAGGAGCACCCGGATCAGCGTCGAGTTCTCTCTTAGAATTCCAAAGGCAGCTCGGCCCCAAACTACACCGAACATGAATGCTTTATGGTCTACTCCACGGGCGGTGATAGGATTCCAGAGCCACGGAGTCATGATGGGCATGACGTCCTTGACAAACTCGGGGAGGCCCGCCCCGCCCGGCGAACAAACCGAGCCCGGGGCCGCGGACAATGCGACGGAATGCATCCGAGACGGTCAGGGTAGATATTCTGAAACCGCGGGAGCCGCGCAGGGCGGAGACACAAACAACCCCAACCGTAGCTGAGCTGCCGCTCGCTTTCCTATGGCCGGGAGGACGGACCCTTCTGAGGGTGTGCGGGAGGTACCGCTGCTGGAGGCGACCGGCGTGCGGGACCAACACCAGCGGGACAGAGCCGAAGCACACGCCATTATCAAAACTACCCGGCACCACAAAACAGCGCGTCCCCAGAACATGCAACAACAACGATCAACAACATCCCCAACAACGTCCGGGCTGATCGCTGGCGGCCGTACCTTCTGGCTTTTGACGGCGTCGGCCAGCGGCAGCAGGTCATGACCCGCGTGGCCGCCGTCGCGCCGACACTCGGCGCAGGTCACCTGGTCACAGGCGGCGCAGAAGAGGTCGCAGTGCGCCGGCGCGTGCCGCCAGCAGCGGCGCGGGTCGGCCGGCGCCGCCGTCGGCGCGGCCGCCGCCGCCGGCAGCAGGCTGTGGGTGGCGAGCGGTCCGCGCCGTGGGTGGCAGCGGCGCTGACAGTCGGTGCAGTAGTGCACCTGACACTGCTGGCAGAGCACGGCCGCCGGCCGCGGCTCCGATTCGCACAGCTGACACGTGACGGCGGCGGCGGCGCGCCCAAACAGCGGCAGCAGCCGCTCCAGCAGCAGGCACGGCCGCAGCGCGTCCAGCGGGGCGCTGCGGCCGCACGTGACGCAGGCGAGCGCGGCTGACTCGGCACCGAGGCAGCTGCCCGGTCGGCTGCCGCCGCTGCCGCTCACGACACCGCTGTCCGCCTCGCTGTACTCGGACAGCTTGTCCAGCTCGTCGTCCGCGCCGCGCGCCAGCGAGCGGGCGCAGCCCAGACATACCGGATGCGCACACGGCAGCAGCACCGGCTGGCTGAACTGGCGCAGACACACCGGACACTGAAGTTCCGACTCCATGGCGGCGGCGGCGGCTCGCGCAGTGCTCGCTGGGGACGTCCCGCGCCCGCGCGTCACTGCTGGCTGGCGCGGCCCGCCACCCGCGCCCGCCGCGGCCCGCGCCCGAGGGGACGTACCGGCGGCGTCGCCCGCCGCCAGAGCCATCTGTCGGGAGGCGCGCCAACTAACGTCCAGTCACGAGGCCCGCGCGCATCGAAGGATAACCCGCGAAGACTGACCGCCGCGAACAGCGCGTGAGCAGCGCTGGCTCGGCGCGCGCCGCCCGAGATAGCTACCGTTGATTACAGACACGCGGACGGGTTTTTGTTGGCCGCAAGTGCAGCTATGCAGAGCTTAGGTTCCCGGGCCAGCGGGAAGGATTGGCTGGACGAGATGACGCTTCACTATGCACGCTTGAGCCCTGGCCGAAAAGCGTTTTAAGTCATTTTTTCACCGGTGGTTTTACAGAGCGATCACTTGCAGCCTAGAGAATACCGCTCGAACGAGCAGACAGGTGAATGTATCAAGCTACATTTCCTTATGCTATCGTGAGCCGGATCCGAGGTATGATTAGATCAGTGGGTTAGTGGATTAGTTGCTGGGTCAGAACAGTAGCACGTAGTATGTGATGATTGAATTCAGAACAAAAGAAAAAGTGAACGATCTCGCAAAAATACCTTTGATGTCCCAAGACTGCACACACGCGTATAATTCGGCATTTCTGTGCAAAAAACCGGCCTAAATAAGGAAGTTCCGCGGATTGCTTCGCGCAGTGAGTTCGGTTTGACTCGACGCATCTGCTCGCCTATTCTCCCCATGGCGTGCAGACTTGGCTTTATCTTAGATAAAAACCCCAAGTCGATATCATAACCACTGGAACGGCTTATCAAGAGGCAGGTTTTGCGTTCAAAACGACGTTACTGTAAAAATGCCATAATGAAATCTGACCAACAACCCAGAGGTACCCTAACGAACTTCGGAGATGAACATCATTTGAGGGCGGTTATCTCGCAAAGCATAACGGTGTCGTTAAGGAGCCGCTGTTCGGAACATGCTCGTAAAAATGTGATGCATTGTGTCCCAACGCAGAAAATTGTCCCCGTGGATCAGTGTGGGAGATCGGAGGCAAACAAGAGTGCGTGCAGCCCAAACCACGAGCGGTGCTCAGCACTTGTTGCAAACTCCAGCGGCCACCGTCCCACGCACAGCTTACTGTCATGAGGCCCCAGCCCCCCCCCCCCCAAAAAAAAACACTTCCAGATGTTAACGTTACGCATGTGATGAACGTTAGGCAATGCATGAACAGTGAGCTCGCGAGAAGTTCAAAATTGCTGTATAACAGCCCACACCACCCGACTAATGTTACACTGTTACGCCCGGTCTCAAGCAGGAAGAAACCATAGAATCGCTTCAACAGGGAATATTTCACATTTAAAGATAATGAAGCAAGCATCAGATACGATGAAGCAAGTTCGCTTATAACCAGGGGCGTAGCCAGAGCTTTGGTAGGGGGCACAGGGTTGACATAGGGCCCCTGATATTAAAGGCCCCCAAAAGGAAAGCGCTGCGTATGATCCATTTTCATTAGGGACATGCTTTTCGAGGTAATATATATATATATATATATATATATATATATATATATATACACCATGTTTTTAAATTTTGTAACTGGAATATAGACCAGACGCCAAATGGGTTGACAATTTATTTTAACATGGCCAGATCATGTTCGTGTGGATATCTTCAACATTCAGTCAGAACTGATTAGTGATGCGAATTATGTAACATGGTTTTGAGCGCGATCGCCCGCATACGTTAGAAGCCAAAAACTGGACGCCACGAGCTGCAGTCTCCGTAGGCCGCGCAGCATCGGCCCCGCAGCTAACACTAGGCCGTTGCCAACACGTGGACGAAAATAGAGACGCATCTGGAAGCAGTGCCTTTGAACGCTTTTACACATCAAATCACACATTTAGAGACACTCCGGGCAATGTTTCGCCCGTGCGGCTTTTAGATTGATGACAATAACGTACTGATTTTTACAGCACCGCAAAGTGGTGCTGGAGTCGTCTGGTTGTGGAACTGGAAGACCACAGCATCACTGTGTTGTGGAAAAGAAGATTCCAGCATCACTTTGTGGTGCTTTAAGGCAACGCTTTAAGGGCTAATCCGTTCTTATCATCAGTCTTAAAATGGCGCACGTGGAATATGCACCCAGCCTGTCTTCTAAATGCAAGATTTGATGTCCTGAAGCGTTAAAAGGTACTCCTTTCAGAAGAGTCATCATCTTCGAAGACCCGTTGGCCGCGGCTTAGTATTGACTGTTTGGGCCGACGCTGCGCGGCCTCAGGAAGACTGCAACTGCTGGCGTCGAGGTTTTTGTTGCTGGGATTTGCGCGTGCGTATGCTCAAAATTATGTCACATAACTGGTATCACTAATCGATGCAAGTGCCTGAGGGTAATTATTTCAGAAGTGTCATCATTTTCGTCCACCGATGGGCCACGGCTAAAAATTAGCCACTGGGCCAACGCTCCGCGAACTACGGAGACTGTAACGCCTGCAGTGGAGGTTCTTGTTGCTAAGATTTGCGAGCGTGCATGTTAAGAAACCACGCTACATAAATTGTATCACTAATCGATTCTGACTGGGTGGTGAAAATTTTCGGCCAAGCATGGCTTGGTCATGTTAATACGCATTGTTGACCACTCAATCTACAATCAAATTTTCATCTTCAAATTTCGATCAAACATATCCATCTACAGTATACCTTCCTGATGTCCTTAATGTCTGTAGAGCCCAGATAAAATTTTGACAAGGCTTCTGAATTCTATCGTTTCAGAAAGAGTCCACAAAACCATTGAAAATTAAAGGCCCCGGTGATTTGTTACATGCGGTCTTTCAACGCCTGGTTTCTACAGTTTATTGGCTTCAAAATACCAACAGAATTGATCTCACGGTAGCTCCTATTTTTTCTTCTGGTTGCAAAGTGAAGGTAACAGTAAAACGAAGACAACCGTGTCCATTATTAACAAGTACGATGTATCCGGGGATTGTATTAGAGGAGGGGGTCATAATAAAAAGGACATTTCTCAACACCGTGTTCCCCTTTGGTAAGGCTCTGGCTACGCCACTGCCTGCACACAAAAGCAGATCAAGTCGCCTGCGTTGAATGATGGGCAATCAAATGTCCGTTGGGCCAACGCATACCTAAGGCAGGCAGCTTCCCGGAGTTTTTTTTGCGATGGTGTGGTGTAAGGGGAGATAATTCGGAAAAGATACTGCTACAGGTGTTTTACATGTGTTTTACAGACCAATTAGTAATAATATTGATCCAGAAATATGCAACAAAGCACCCATATGATCAGTTCAAGGTCAGCCATACGGGAGACAGCCGGCCCAGGGCAGTGCCCGCCGACGGCGGGTGGTAGCAGGGCCCACGTAAGGAATATATGACAGAAGGGCATTCATTCTATGGGTTGATCTTTAAAGGAGGATTCCCAGTTGTATGGCTCTTGCCACACTGCTTTTAACAGCTTCAAGCTTCTGAATTTGTTTGCGTCTAGAATGCCGCGACAAGTCTTATCTCTTAAAAATAAGCCAGCGAAATGAAGGCGCATGCAAATTTGTCGCACTGTGAGCCATCCATTTCGCTTTCAAAATTCCAACAACCTATGTCAAGGCCATATTTTGGCACTTACCCTGCGGAGGCAGCTGCCTCCTCACCGCGCCTAAAATACCGCGCGCGAAATTTCGCGCCTCCCAGGAAAGACAATATTGAAATGGACGAATAATTCTGGGAAGCCGGACAGCGTTATTTGCCGAATGACACAGACGAGTCGAAAAGGCAAGATTGTGCACCAGTGAGAGCAGCCCTAGGTACGTATCATGCAAAACAGCTATGACATTTGAATAAACGACAACAACTTCCATCTCCACCCCCCCCCCCCCTCAGTCATCGGGTTTGCTTTCCAAAAAAGTTCCTGAAGCACGCCATGAGCTTGCCCCCCCCCCCCCACTTTTTAAAACGTTCCTTCGCCTATGCGTGGACTCCATTTGGGCTTAACAGGCCAATACTGGAATAGGGTTAGAGGGCCTGCCGTTTGGTACTGGAGGCCTTGACTGGCACAAGACTCTTCTATTACCTCAATGTGAGCACTCATCATAGGTTCTTGTTTCCTTCAATTGTCAGGGTCCCAGACCAACGCAAGAGGCCTCTGCCATTCGGGATCCCGTCCCCGTCCCTGTTGAGCAAACCTTCCCCTGACCGATTCGAGGCCCCTTGTTGACACCGAATGCCCTGTTAGGCAATGTGGGCCCCTGAATGATACAGGAACCCGACTGACGTAACTCGCGGGTCTAGCCTTGTCTCTGCTTGGCAAATGGGCCCCCAGAGCTCAGATCAACACAGAGCTGACTGTTCATTGTTCGCGATCTCTGACCGAAATAGAGAAACACTCTGTCTTGGGGATCCCCATCAGTGCAAACGTTCATCTTACTGACATTTGAGACCACGACCCTATAGGCGGGGGTCCTTAACGTAACCTACAGCAAGCCCTTCGGACCCCTCAGCCATCCCATCGGGCCCTTGATCTTTGGTCTCGAGAGACCCTTCAGCCCCTCTTCGGGCCCCTCAAACACCGTTCCGACTCAGGGTCACTTGCTGCCACAGGTCCCTGGTTCGACACTGTGATCCCTAACCAACACAGCCTAACCTTACTGTGCCAGGGGCACCGAACATTACAAGTCATGAACCCCGGTCTCGTTTCTGCTTGGGAAATGGGTCACAACACTCAAACGGACATGGAGCCGACTATTCAGCGTTCGTGGCCTCGGCTGACTTAGGCACCCGCATTGTCTGCGGGGTTCCTAAAACGGTGCAGGGGGACCTCTGCCTGATATTTCAGGTCACGACCCTACTGACCGCGATTCTTCACGTGATCTACAGCCAGTCCTTCGGGCCCCTATGGCCTCCGGACAGGCCTTTGATCTTCGGTTCCGGTGTGCCGCTCTGGACCC